CGATTGCCTTCGAGCCTTCAAGTCGGTTTGTGTCTCTGCCATTTCGCAGGAATAAAGATGTTAAACGTTTTGCTGATTCGTGTTTTATGAACTCAATTTCAATTTATAATCTCTGTTGCCACTCACTGGCCCCTCTGTTGCCCTCGCCCCGTCCTCTTGCCACTTTGGGGCGTTTTAGCCATTGTGTTATCGCCTAGAAATACACTTGGCCAATTGGCCAAACCTTCTGGCCCTGCTGCTCCTTCGTTCTGTACCCTGTCACTCTCTATCTGGTGGGTTACTTAGTTCGGTTCGTTTTGGTTCTTGGTCCTTTTGTCCGTTGCATTGTCAGGTCTGCAATTTTAATGTTGACAGAAATCAGATATAGCCAACTGCTGGAATGCTGCCTGCGCATTTAAGGTATTTGAAATGTATCCCATTCAGCTACCCATTCCATTCTAGTATCCCCCTCTCCTGGCCATACTTGGAGCTGTGGCTAGCGATGGCATCGCCAATGAGCCTGTTTCGGTTTCTGTCTCCCAGTGGGTGAAAAGTGGTTGCGTGTTTACCTGCAATGACAAAGAGGTGGGCATCGGAAATTAGTTTAATTTGTAGGATATACTAGAGAGAGATCATACTTAAAAAGAGGAAGATTAAATTGTCAATGTTATGGTACTTATGAGGATAAATATTATGAGATTTAAAGCCTGAAGTTTTCCTTAGAAAGTACCCAACTTTCTTCAAATTAAATCTTATTAAAATTGTAGTATTTCATCCCTGAAGAGTGTGTCTAAAATTTTCCCTTATTTCGAGCGTGTGTAGTAATGCGACACAACAAGAAATCATATTTCACAGACGAAATCATTCCAATTAAGTGCAACATGTATTTTAGTGGCGCCAACGTTGCCCTCGTGGGACCTTTGACATACATGGGTATATGGCTACCCAATCTTCTAGCTCCCGTACCCCGACCCTCCTTACTTTGGATATTCTTCCCTTTGGATTTTTTTGGGGGAAACTGTGTGTGAAAGATGTTGTAGTTGCTAGAGGCAGTTGTGAAGATCTAATTTCCCCACAAGCAGCTTGTAATATCCTGTTTGGTCTGGGTTTAAGGATATGTACTTCCTTCGGCTGTAAGATACGCATACTTTGGAAACAGATTATATTTGTGGGCTGAGAGATGTGTGTTTTTTGGGTCTGACACTTTGAAACAATTTAGTTATTTCATATTTGCTGACATCATCTCGTTCTAATGCAAAAGTCCAACTTCCCCTTTTGGATTTGGGCCTCCTGGGGGTTGGGGGCGTGGCCCTGCCACAGCATTCGGGGGTGGTTTCCGTCACTGGTGCTCTCTCCCTTTCGCACTCAACTATTGACGTGGTTGACGTTGACAGTTCCATTGATTTATGGCCCGCTTGGTCTTTTTTTTTCCTCCTGGTCCTACGATAACTGAAATCTTATCCATCAGGCTGGGTTCCGCCACCCCCACCCTTCCCAGCCGGCAAGAGCTTTCCTCTAATGAATATCATTTGAGGACAATTAGTTAATTGAGTGGCTTATCCGGACTTATCCTTTTTTTCCATTTTCCTAGGTGCGTATGTGTTATCAGGCTGGAATTTCACCTTTTCTGAAATTTCCTTTTGAAAACTCCCTAACTGACACACACCAGGTTTCCCCCTTTTCCATTTTCCCCGGGGGGAGGGGTTCGATTGCGGTAAATGCAGTACATCCGATGGCCAGTGACGGCCAAAAGGAAAATGGGTAGGGAAATGGCGGGAAAAGCCAGGCGAAAAAGTGTGTAATGAATTATTACCCTCCGATAAAAGTGCATGTCGTGTTGTTTTCCTTTTTTTTCAGGCAGTTTTCCGTTTTTTTTCGAAACGGGTTTTGAAATGCGGTTGAAAGAATATTAAAGATGGCTCAAATGAATCAAAGAGTTAACCATTTTTGATTCTGTATTTTTTTCCTAACAAGCTTCCCTCTGTAGTTCTGCAATCACCTGCCGACTACCCATTTGCTAATCACTTGCAACATTCACCGCTCCGGGGTCTAGACAAACACTTCAATTAGAAAAACACCGCACATCCTCCCCCATGTCCTTCGAACCAAAGCTCACTGCCCCTCCTTGGCCTGGAGCCCTTTTGGCCCGCAAGTGAATTCATTTTAGTTTCGGATTCGATGAATCAGTTGGAAATTTTTACTGCAACAAAACGGGGGGCGTGGCTGCCACAAACAACAAAAAAAGATGCGAAATAAGAGAGGGCGGCAGACGATTTGAGGATGTTGAATAAAAATGTGAATTAAAAAAAAAATACAAAATATGGCAATCGATGCTGCGCCTCTCTAGAAGTATACACAGAGAATAATAAGAGAAAGATATTTTATTGAATTGAAATTCTGTAAATAGCTAAAACCCTATACTTTTTTTGAAGTGTAGGGGGAGGGGATTGTAAACCGGCTGAGCTAGCTCTTTGGGATTAAGTTGTGAATCGTGATCTTGGCCAAAAGACTAAGCAAGTGCCTGAAACTGGGACTCGAGACTGGCAACTGGGGACTTCGGAGACTTCTTCCAGCTGCAGTCTGAAGTCTGAAGAGCCTTGGAGTCAGGGGCTTGCCCTGCCCGCGGTGATTAATCCATGAACTTCTCCTTCGGAGAGCTCTTCGCAACATCATGTGGAAGGTGGAAGATTTTCGACTCTAGATACTTTCGGGGTTAAAATGGCTGAACAGTCTCTGAGCAGCTGGCCCTGGCTCTGCCGATATTTAACCCGTGATTACAATGTTTGTAAATTTTTTTTTCCCCCTTCCTTTCTCGACTGGAAGATTCTGTTTTAGCTTTTCTTTTTCCATTTTTTCTTTTTTGGTTCACCTTGCGGGCCAATTTGTTGGAGAGCCTGGGCAACGACAGGCTGGCAAAATGAAGCTAAATTGCTGGAACAGGAGGAGGACGAGCTCCGGCTCATGCTCCTGGTAGTTGAGCAATTTATTACTGCCGCAAATTGATTTTTATCTAGGCCTAATCGATTGTTCCTAGGAGCGACTGGGAAAGCAACGGGCAAAAGAGGACCGGGATTAACGAAAATTATTTATGTTAGTTCACACGTTGTTTTACACGTAATTTATTAACTTGGGTTTTTAGTGCAAAACTCTATGACCTTGGGGGCAGTGTTGGAAAATCGGTTTTCCGCCCAGGCCCAGGACAGGGGTGGTGTGAAGGTGATTTACAATTTATTCCACCTCCCCCCTCACATGGATGGATGATGCGATAATTTGCACCAGACTGGAGCTGGCCAAAAAGATATTTATGACAGAGAAATGAGCGCCAATTGCTGCAATTACCAGCGCGTGTTTGGCCGTCGGCGAAGTTGGCCCAAACGAGTTTAGATTCGGTTTTAGATAGATTTAGTGTAGAACTAGCGATCGATGGGGGTTAGAGCTTTAGAAGGGGGTAATTTGCTCAGTATATTAGTGGCTTGTACTTGAAAGGCTTCCTGGTTTTTTGTGATATTTTTTAACCCATTTAAGACCATTGTATTAAAGACTCAAACTTAACAAATCGATACATTTTTAATATCCTCAATTGTTACATGTAAATTGTAAATTTCAGAGGTCGGGGGGATGGATGGATGTTCGCTGGAGAATCGACAGTCGAACCGCAGAACAGCAGACCGCATCGCTGTGTTTTATATATTAATTTGCGAACAATCGAAAATCGACATGTGACACGCGTTCGATATTCCCTCCTGTCCCTCTGACTCATTTTTTTGTAATTTTTTTTTTTTTTTTTGTAAATTTATGCGTTACGAATTGCATTTGCAATTTTTTCTGCTGCTGCTGGCGCTGTCGTTGTTGCGGCTGCTCTTGTTGTAAATGCAACATCGATGAATGCGAAATGAGAAAAGTGAAAGAGACGGCAAAAGGTCGCGGGGAAAGAGATAGGGGACGGTAGAGACCGTAGACGGCTTCCCTCCGTTTGTCACAAATAATAATAATAATCGTAGCAATGAGGGACCCCGAGAATAATTCCTGTAACAGTACAGACATACATACATATGAGGATATACATTCATGTAACCGACCTGCATCTGTCGCAGTCGCTGACTGTCTCTGTCTCGGTCTCCCTCCCCTATCTTCCCCCCCTCCAGGACTTGGGACATATCAAAAACAATTCCAGCTCATCAGCATCATCGTTGTCAGTCCCCCCACCCTTATGATTTTTTTCTTTCCTCCCCGACATTCGCACACGCCATAAATCAATGTTCGATTTTCCCAACAACAGCAGCATCAGAAGGGAAATTCGCATGGGCAAAAAAAACGAAAGAGACAGACAGCGGGAAGCGAGAGTGAGACAGCATCAGGCAAGGACACAGGACATTATGTTCGCGCCATGTTTAAAAATGCGTTGTTGTTGGTCTGATGTTTTTTTTTGCTTTTCGCTCGCCTGATTTTCAATTCCCATTTTTGTAATTTTTATTTTTTTTTGGTCACAGCGCGTGTTGCATTTCATCTCATGCGTTACACACATTTCATTGTGTTTCCCCATTGTTGTTTTTGTTGTTGTTGCTGTGGCATTGCTCAATTCCATTTGCAGCAGCGGTGGAAATGCATCGCATTTTTTTGGGTGACATGCGGGGCGCCGCGACAATGGCAAGAGGAGCCAAAAGGCCAGGTATTGCCAAGGAAAGGGAATACTTGTGGTCTCAGCCGTAAAAGACACTGAATGGGAAATAGTTCTGAAAATAGCTTCACATAAGCGGAAAACTGAATGGAGAGCCAAGTAATAGTCTAAATAACATAAATTCCAATGGATGGCAATATAAAATAATTCCATAAAAAATAATATACTTTCCCCCTTGCAACCTCATCAAAATAATGCACTCTGACCCCAACAAACAAACCAAAACATTATTTATAGTACAAATACATTTTCAACACTCGTTGAGTTGGAAAAACTTTCTCCACCAGCAGATGTTTCGAAAGTTTTTGAGAACTTTTCATAGACCTCCCAGTATTACCTGCAGTGGATTGAGCGACACTTTCCATCGAACTGAAACCTCCGGAAAATGAATGACGTAGTGGAAAACGTATTGCCGATTAATATTATTAACTTTTTCTTAGTTGGCTATTTGCGAAGCTTTTTCCGCTTGGTTGGAGGGCGCAGTTTTCGCTTTTCGAGGATAATCGTGGACAGCAGCTCGACGGGCGTTAGGGGGCACATGTTCGCTCGGGAGTCGCGGAGGGGGGCGGGAAAAGCCTCAGATCCATTGGCCGTGTCAGCCGGACATTAGGCCAAAACTCAATTAGACACTATATATGGATTATTATTTGAAAACGACTACAACTCATTTGCCGACGGCGAATTGTTTTCAATTATTGCCACTTTATCGCTTTTGGCCACGTTTTCTCCGGAAAAATTATATAGCGCTCGAATCTCTCTCGACTCTACGCTGCGAATTTGCCAACTAGAGGATGCCTCCAGTTTGTTGGCCGCCTTAGGAGCCCAACAGAAGCATATACTTTCTGCTGCTCTTCTCCATCAACAGAATTCTCAGTCGTTCCTCTTATTTGGGGAGCGTTTTGCTGGCGCGCTCGAAAATGCTTAACAAAAGCCCCCGAAATGACAGCCATGGGGTGGAGGGGAGATGGGGGCAGGGGTGGCGGATATCAAGGCGCAATAAATTATTCCGCCCGCCTGCAGGGGTCGCCACTTAAGAGAGCGGCCCCAGGGTCAAAGCGAACGAGATGGTGGTGCCCCAAAGAGAGCTTCCACGGCCACATAATAATAACACAATTTTCAACTAGCAATAAACTTTTGGCAATGACTTCATTGCTGTGGCAACTATAACTTTATGGCTCTTTGATGGCCCACTGGCCCCCTCATCCCCACAAGACTCAGTTCTCTTTGAGGTTCTCGGCATGCGCAGTCTTTGGCGATGGCTCTCTTTCGGGGAGGCTGCCACCCCCTAGGAGGGGCACCACCATCACCGTTGAGCGGTCACAGGCTGCTGTCGAAAAGTGGAGGTTCCTGGAGAAAACAATAAAAACCAGAACAATAACAGCAAGGACGATGGGAGCCAATGGGAGCCTATAAAGGGTCTTCAATAAAAATAATTATAATTCTTATAAAATATTCAAATAATAGAAACATTTCTTCTTTATTAAATCTCTTAAGAATTAATATTAATTACATTTATTCCACATACTCTTCCCCCATAAATATGCCCATTCTATACCATTTAATTGACTTTATCGAGTGCATCCCAAAAATCAGTTCAGTCCCATTGTCTCCTCGGAGATTGTCATCGTCATCTCGCCATGGCCATCATCATCTGCACATTTATTTGGCTTGGAAGTGTGCTGCATGTAAAGGCAGCTAATAAAATTAAAATGCCATATTTCAGCCGTTGATACCAATAAGTGCGCTCCGAGTTGCCCCTCGGATGCTCCTCCTCCTCCTCCCTTGCCACAACGACGACGATCTCCTTCTGTTGATGGTGCTGCGTCTGGCAAGGAGGAAATTATTTTTTGGCACGAACGCACGAACGTGCGGCCTTGCCGCAACGTGTGGAAAGTGTTTTTGTGTGCCTGTATGTGTGTGTGGCAAGCAAGGGGCCACTCACTCGTCTGGTGATATGACAAAAGCATTTGAGCTAAAAAATACCTGTGGAAAAACTGCCTGCAAGGAATTTTCGTAGATATTGATTTTGGTGTCAACGCCGACGGCGCAATTCTCTCAACTGAAAATTATGAAAATTGAAAATGAATTTGAGTTTTCCAGGGGGGCGCCTCAGGCTTTCCCAATTTTCTCGGATAAGAATCTAGCTAGACAGGAGGAAATGATTTATGCAGACTTGATTTTTATTATTGATTATCAACGCGGAAGGTGGATTTTCCAAGGGGGGGCAGCCATGCTACGGCAGGCTAATCTATTAATGCGAATATTTATTTTTTGCTACAAACTGTCAGAAATCTCAACATCCACCGCCCCCTTGCCTCCTCAGACTTGACTTGTAATTAAATTAAAATTCCTTTTACATGACAAGCCCAACACACACACATACACTGGCAGTCTGGCCAAAGGAGTCAACAACTGGTGGCCATGTCCTTGCAGAGGAATATCTGTGTGGGTGTGTGTGGCAAGTGCATCTCTTGAGCTCGTTTTGTGCAAACTAAGACACGTTGTCAGCATTCATGTCACCCGGAGAGAGAGAGAGACAGGAAAGTTTTGGGGGCATGGAGACCGGAAGTCCTTTCAAGTGGCTTTGCATGCTGGCCGAAAGGACTTTTCATTAAAATTTTCTTTTCCGAAGCTTAATAGTTTTTTTTTTTGTTATATTTTGCATTGTAAGTAGAATAATGATTAGAAATTTAATAAATTTTAAGAGAGTTTTGGATAAAACACAGTTTTCTATTTAATTTCTCACAACTTTTGAGCTTGATAAAGGCTAGAACCACTTATAAACAATAATATGTTTTTTAATTTGATTGTTTTTTAATTAAAAGTATCCCTATTTCATCAAACCATATCCCAATCACTAGTAGGACGTGGAAAAATGTTTTATTTCTTTATTTTTTTGTTGGATTTTCCCCGTAATGGACTTCTCCGCACGGACAGCGTTTAAAGATCGCCTTCACATTTCTCGTTGAGGGCGAAAGCTCCATGATGAGGCTTCAATCCGAAGCCAACCAGACGCCACCCCACCAGCGGAAGGAAGGGGGCTATGGCGGGCCGCGAAATGGGTAGGTAGTCCGGGGGGAAACACAAAAATCTTTTTACGTCAGTTCTGCTTGTCTTGTTGCCTGGCATTTTCTTGCGTTGTTACCTTCGGAGCGGGAGCAGTGCGAAATGCTTGGTTGCGTTGTTGCTGCCCCAAAGCAGCCCCACCCCCTCGACACTCACCCAGGCCGTACCCTAGTAGCTAGTAGTGCTACCAAATTGGAGGGATTTTAAAAAAAGCTAATTTTAATTTATTAAAATATATTATTATTATAAGGTTTAAAAAACTTTAAATAATTTTTAATATTTCAAGAAATATTTATTATGAAATTCTTGAAACATCACTGCCTTAGTTTCGTTTTCTGACTCTCGCCGGCAATTTCCTTTGGAGCTGGAAATACAACGAAAGCGAAGCGAAAACTTTTTGCGAAAAACGTTAAACGCAACTGTCCGTCCGTCCTTCCGTCTTTCCGTCTGCCCGCCCCTTTGTGTCTGTCTGTCGGTCGGGTATCCCTCCCGCTCCGGCCGTCTGTCTCTGCTTCTGTCTGTCTGGGCCGGTTCATCCTTCCGCTAACCCCGCTACCGCCACCACCGCCACCGCCACCACCTCCCCTCGACCAGTTTAGTATATAACAAGTCAGCGTCAGCTGCTCCTTGCCTTTCCGCCCGCTACAGCTCAGTTCCTGATACTGCTGCCACTTTGTCGGCTGCCTCGAATACTTCCATGTTCATTTTACAAGTAAAACGGAAATGACAGTTCCGCAGCGACTCGAACATCTTTCGCTCCTCCGCTTCTCAGTTTCTCTTCTCCTCAGTTTCCCTGCTACCCCGCTGCCCTTTCACTTTGGCGGACATGGAAAGTGAAAGAAACCTTTCTCGCATAATAGTCTGTCAAAGTGCTCCAGTTGCTCCTGCGAGCACTTAGCACTTGACAATCTGCAGAACCCAGAAAGACAGAGACAGGAAGAGGAGAATAGAAAGAGACAGGTATCTGAGAGATCTTTAAAGGAGGAGGTTCTTCAAGATATGATCTTTCTTACCATTTTCCTAAAATCTCAAATGTTAAATTACTATTTGAAGTTCTATTCTATCCAACCCTATAGTCCTTTAAATTTTAAATTAATTATAAAATTTTTGTTTATTTTTAGGGCCATTCTCTCTTGATTTTTGACACCCTCGCTCCCCCAGGCTGACTAAAGTTACTTAAACTAATTTTCTAATTATGATTCCAGAGCACAGAAATCATGTCAGGCGTCCGATGCCGCTTCACTCGCTCGCTTGCTGACTGATTTATGGCTGCTGCTGGAAAAATGTCAAAATATTTGTTGGCCAGTCTCCACACGCATCCCCTACCCCCGGCTCTCTCGTGGCCGCCATCGGAACTTCCCCCAAAGTTTATGGACTTGCCTACGCAATATCGAACTTATCCAAATCACTTGGCAAACTTTGGCCCGCTTTCCGTTGGCCTCTTCATCGGGGTCTCCTTCCCTGTATTATAATTCCTAGTCCTTCTATTGTTTGCTGGGAATTTGATTTATTTATTTATTGTTGGCTCTCGGTTTGTATTCGCTAATCGCCAGTGGAGCGACTGATTAGCGTAATTTTCCGGCTGCTGAACGTTCGTTTCAATGGTTTGGATATCAATAGGAAACTTGGGTCATTCTTGACTTGCATTATTATTGAAAACTTTTGTGATATGGAATAATAATTGGGAAGGACACAGCAATTCGGATTTGAAATCGGGATTAAGGGTATAATTCGGGGTGTCTGTATGTAAAAGGTTTATTTTTGGTTAACTCCTACTACTAGCGTCTAATAACCAAGTTTATGGCTCAAAGCGTTGTGTATATCTTCGTCAATTTAATTTCAATCTACGAGCGGAGTACCTTAATCGAATTGTGGATCGATTCTCTCTCATTCTACATTAAAAACTCAAAGTAAAATTTTTGATCGATTTTTTGTAAATTTTTCTGATGGAAGCCCTTTGAAATGGGGGAATGCATGGGAGGACCCATATGACCCGAAGGCTTGTCCATATCTTTGTCAATTTTGATCCGATCCTTGAGCGGAATACCTTAAACGATTTGTGGATCGATTTTCTCTCATTCTATATTAAAACCTCAAAGTAACATTTTTGATCGATTTTTTGTCAATTTTTCTGATGGAAGCCCTTTGAAATGGGGGAATGCATGGGAGGACCCATATATCCCGAATGCTTGTCTATATCTTTGCAATTTTTTAAGGATTTTTGTTAATTTTTCGTAGCTAACTAGGAATGTTTATTCCTGCAACAGACCTCCCACACATGTTGCTCCATATTTTGTGAACCATCTTTTGAAGCATAACCGATGTGTAAAGCACCGAGATAGTGGGATATTGTATGAATAATATACACATTTTTGTTTTTATCCAGTTAATTCCCACAGAGTCCATGCCCAAAATCCTGGGGAAATGGGGATGCGATGTCAACTTCCAAGTAATTTGCAAGAGCCTGACACTTTTTCTGTTTCTGTAGTTTTGCTTTAATGATTTATGGGCGCCCATCATCAAAATACAAATACAAATATAAATATGTACAAAAGAAGGGCATGTATGTGCGAATGATTCAATAGTGGGCGTGGCATCT